AAATTAGCCAGGCGTGGTGGTACATGCCTGTAATCCCAGCTACTCGGGAGGCTGAGGCAGGAGAATTGCTTGAACCCGAGAGACGGAGGTTGCGGTGAGCCGAGATCGCACCATTGCACTCCACCCTGGGCAACAAAAGTGAAACTCCATCATTAAAAAAAAAAAAAAAAAGAAAAGAAAAGAAATTCTTTTTTTTAAGAGATACTTATTGGGGAAAAAAAGTTTAAAACATTGGAGACAGAACTGACGTTGGCCAAGTGTCCCAGTCCCCTCCTCAGAGTGTAAGCCTTATCCTGAAGTTAGGGCTTACCACTCCATGGGTGTTTTATATCATTAACAGTGTACACATATGAATACTTAAAAATAATACCAAAAAAGATAGAAAAATAGCATAGATAAGGAATCAATCAGTCAATCAATGCAAAAAAGGAGAAGGAGGAAGGCAGCGGTGGCCATCAGGAAGCCTGGGGCCGCCCAGGGAAGGGCAGGCAGCAGGCTATAGCCACGAAGGGAATCAGGGTGGTCCTTTACCTGGAAATCTTCCCCATCCAGAAAGTCTCCTACGCGAACATGCTGGTTAACACATCTGCAGTCACCTGAGGGTACTAGGAGAGAAAGGGAAACTGAGTCAAAAGTTATAAAAGTAAACTGACGGCAGACACAGTAGGGTAAGGTTTCACTACACATTTCTGTGTATTTTGAAGGTTCCTCAAAGAAGATCTGGAAAGTCGAGTGTTTTCTACGCTTAAGACTGTCACTGCACTTGACTGTTCTAGAGCCATGCCAGGGACTCAGTGCAGAATGCTACGTCCTCCTCACACCAGCAGTAATGCTGGAAGCATTCAGTGAGGCACGATTTGGGCACCAACTCTGCTACTCCTAAGGCATTGCAAGAGAGTCATTAAGCCTTTCTAGGCTTAGATTTCAGTATCTGGAAAATTTATAGGATTCTCCAGAGTGACTCCCAAAATTAATGGAACATTACTACCCTTGGAAAATTACTAGTCCTTGGATGTAATGAGAAGAAAAGAAAATGAGCTAACATAAATCTATAAGCTAGATTCTATTTATTTTATTTCATCTTATTTTTTAGATGGAAGTTTCGTTCTTGTTGCCCAGGCTGGAGCACAATGGCGCAATCTCAGCTCACTGCAACCTCCACCTCCCAGGTTCAGGCGACTCTCCTGCCTCATCCTCCTGAGTGGCTGGGATTACAGGCATGTGCCAACACGCCAGGCTAATTTGTATTTTCAATAGAGACGGGGTTTCTCCATGTTGGTCAGGGTGGTCTCGAACTCCCGACCTCAGGTGATCCACCCACCTCTGCCTCCCAAAGTGTTGGGATTACAGGCTTGAGCCACTGTGCCCAGCCCTAGATATTTATTTTATATAGTTTACTTCATTTAACCTTTGAAACGATTTTGTAAAGCTAGTATCGATAGCAACAGACGACTACAAAGAGACTGGGGTCGAGTGTGTGCAGTAACTTGCCTAAGGTCACAGAGCTAGCAGCAGCAGAGCCACAGATCAAAATCTGGACCTGGTTGACCCCCAGGAGGTTTTTCCCACTATACCATGGACCCTCTACTGAGTGCCATCCTGTTGCTGGTAGAGTCACACCAAAACCACAGTAAACTTTAACTCCAAGACTTAAAAACAAGTGCAAGATTCTATCATACATCAAGTTTGTTTTCTGTGCCCAGGCTTATCTTTTAAAGAAATCTGGCATTTTGTGGACATGTATTTGATGATAAAATAATTGCCCAGAAGAATACCCAACAAAATTAGCTTATAATATTTCCTTTTACTTAAAAATTTATCTTTCTTTCTCTGATACTCCTCTTAAACACACACACACACATATATATATATTTTTTATAGCAAGGGGTTATGTCTTTATTTTTGAGACAGGGTCTCACCCTGTCACCCAGGCTGGAGGGCAGTGGCATGTTCATGGGTCACTGCAGCCTGGACCTCAGCAGGTTATGCCTTGACACAAGAAGGAAGCTTCCAAGATTTGCTCTTCTTTAACATTTTTAGAGGCTACATCCAAAAGCACCCGATTCCAAAAGCAAGTGTCTTGGCAAGTCAGGACAGATTTGACTATTTCACATAGAGTGGCTACTTTTTAAAGGAGAAATTTAATTGTCTAGAGGTTAGAAATATACTACCTTCCTATTCGGCCAAGGCGATGAAGCAGCTTCAGTAGGTGAAGACAGTGCATGAAGCAACTGTCTGGCTCTCTGGGGCTCAAGGTCATTTTTCTCTCCATATGGGGATTCGTCTAATTGGCGAAACACATTTGTCCAGTGGATCAGGTAGCAAGACAACCTATTAGATAGATCAGTGGTCTGATCTAGGACACAGCTGCTGAGCTCCCTCCAGGCTTAAAATAATTCAGCATTATCAACCCATCCCCCCATTGAGTACAATTAATTTTATGAAATGGAGAAAATAAGCATGGGTAAATAACATGGCTGCCACACACCATGCACAGCAGAAAATGCCAACTGTGCTCTGTATACCACTTCCCACTGACCTCGAGGTGCTAATGAGGGAGTTCTGCAAAGACTGCATTAAAAAGCCTCCTACACTTAGCCAGCCCTAACCCCACTCTAAACTTTTCTCCCACACCACAGCAGGAGGGCCTTGCTAATTGGAATCTGCAGAACACGTGGCCTGAAATTTGTTGTGGCAGCACACACCTCCAGTGCATCCTGAACCCCACACACACACACAACACTCAGATTTCTTAGTGTTTTTTTTAAAAAAAATCTAAATGTGACAATACATATAATATTTAAAATTAAAGTACATGTTTGTGTGATCGTGCCAAAAATAAAGCCAGGTGGAGGTGGTCTTTGTAAGCATACACCTCCCCGTAAGACCGGTGGTAATGACGAGAGATGGTAACAACAAAGATGCCTGGTGAAAAGAGACCCTCTAATCGCATTAGCTGGTAGTTGTAAGGGAAGATGGTTGCTCTGAATTTCCCTTTATACACAGCAACTTCAAAAAAAATCCCTATTTTCTTAGAACATCTTTATGTAGAAAAGCCTGCGTGTCTTTGAAGCCTCAACACAAAACAAACAAGAGTCTTTACAAGTCCTGTCTGACCACCCAGGGAGAATCAAATAGTATTTTTTTCTCCAGTAGGCCACCCCAGGATACCACAAATAAAAATGAAAAGGAAGAATTCATCATGTAACGGGGTGTATTTTGCTAGTGTAGTCATTACACTCTTTTAATCTAAATATTATGGTATATTTTTCACTGGCAAAGCCCAAGAAGATCTAATTATTCATTTATTGAACAGAAAACATTCTGAAATAGCAGAAATTAGGTTAAAATCTAGAAAAGAGCAGAAAGGGGAAGGTGAAGGAGTTTTTTTTCTCAGAATCCCAAGAATTGAGCAGGGTTTTTTCAAAGGTGCTGATGTTCAGAATGGTAGGATGGGAAGCTGGGGCCCTGAGTTCCTTAACACAGAAACCCGGAGATGAAAATGCTCAAGGGCTCGGGCTGCAGGAGACATCTGGGCAGGGGAGTTTCCTCAGCATCACATGGAAGAGCTTAGGAGCATGAAAGGATGCTGGAATCATAAGAAGGTCTTAGAGTCATAAACATCCTGAAATGTACTCCTCTGATCATGTCTCCACTCTGCATAAAATGTCCATTTGGGCCAAATAAAGACCAGACCCTGTGGCCAGACAATAAAATGCCTCCTCGAATCCTAAGCTGTCATCCCAGGCTCGGTTTCCACTGCTGCCATTAAGGGACACTGTGCTCCAGCGCCACTGAAGTCCGTGCTGTTTCTCAGGTACACAAGGCACTTCCACCTCGTTGTGCCAGGGCACTGATGGTCTTCTTTGCCTGAAATATCCTGGGCCAAGTGCAGTGGCTCACGCCTGTAATCCCAGCACTTTGGGAGGCAAGGCAGGAGGATCGCTTGAGCTCAGGAGTTCGAGACTAGCCTGGACAACATGGCAAAACTCCATCTCCACAAAAAATACAAAAACTAGCTGGGCATGGTGGTGCACACCTGTGATCCCTGGTACTCAGGAGGCTGAGGTGGGAGGATCGCTTGAGTTCAGGAGGTGGAAGTTACAGTGAGCTGAGATCGCGGCACTGCACTCCAGCCTGGGGGACAGAGCAAGACCCTGTCTCAAAAAAAAGAGGGGAGGGGAGGGGAGGGAGGAATCCTGCAGTCCCCATCTCTCTACTGACTCGATTTTTTAAGACAAAAGGATGAAAGGGGCTTGACGGACATCCTCTTGATCACAGCTCTGCCACAATACAGCTGGGTGGCTTTGGGCCAGTTACTTAATCTCCTTTCCTGCCTCAGTTTTCAGTTTCTTCATCCGCTAAATGGGGATAGTAAAGTGAATAACATCCACTACTGTGAACATTAAATGAAATGAGGATGCTAATCAACTGAAGACGTTAGTAAATGTCAGTTTGCTCTACTCAAACATACATGCCACCTTCCTTCGGAAGCCTTCCTTAACATCTGCAGCCAAATGTCTTGAATTTATTGAAATTCCCATCACACACATGAACCGCAGCTGTGTTTGGTACTTGGTCATTCTCTACTCACATTTTTGCCATGTTTCTACATCAGCACACCTACCAGACTGTGTGCTTTTGGAAGGCAGAACCTATGTTCAATTCATGTTTGTATTCTTTCCAATTGTCTTGCACAAACTAATCAAATGGTAAGCATCTTAGGATTCTAGAATTAACAGGCCCTTTCAATAACCTAGACAAAACTCACCATTCTGTAGATAAAGAACACTGAGTCCAAGTGGGATGAAGAAAATAATCACACTACTAGTAAGTAATAGAAATGAGTGGACGGCACCGGGCGTGGTGGCTCACGCCTGTAATCCCAGCACTTTAGGAGGCGGAGGAGGATGGATCACAAGGTCAGGAGATTGAGACCATCCTGGCAAACATGGTGAAACCCTGTCACTACTAAAATTACAAAAAAGTTAGCCGGGCATGGTGGCAGGCACCTGTAGTCCCAGCTACTCGGGAGGTTGAGACAGGAGAATGGCATGAACCCGGGAGGTGGAGCTTGCAGTGAGCCGAGATCGCTCCACTGCAAATCAGCCTGGGCAACAGAGCAAGACTCTGTCTCAAAAAAAAAAAAAAAAAAAGAAATCAGTGGACGGATTGATGGGTGGAGAGATGGATGGATGGATGGATGGATGGATGGATGGATGAATGGATAGATGGATGCACAGATGCATGGTTGGATGGATGAACAACAGCAACAAAAAATAGGAACAGACCAACCAGCAGTCAGTTACAACATCTAAAACTTAACAGCAATTCAAACCCTAGGGGATAGTGTACTGACCCACCATATAACAGCCACCTTACTACGCATGCTTTCTTCATCTACTAAAAATCTTTCAATGCCATTTTTTTAAAAAAAATCCTTATAAAATTCAGATCCAGAAAATCTACCATGCAAAAGGATTTCAACCTCCTCAGTGCCAGGATCTCTTCATTACTTTAAAATATAATTTATTCAAAACTTCGAAATAGCAGCTCACCTTCACCCTAGGTAGCTTATTCGTGCCACAGGTGTTACTGAATGGCA